CATTTTGGTCTATAAAGCGTGTTCCAGAGTCAGCAGGGACGCGCTTGGGGCCTGTGAACCAGACTCTGGGAGAACCTATGCGACATCAGCAGGACGTTGATCAACCTGATCTTACTCAGACGTGGACTATATGCTTACCAGGGACGGCGATCGTTGGCGTTGCAGCCTCGATCCACGAGTATGAAGCAATGGGCTTGACGTTTATAATTTCTACAGGACTAAGAGTATCCGTGCTCCGTTTGAACTTGGCTACCTTGTCTGCAAGATCTTTGAGGATGAAGGAGGTGTCAGGTTGTGAGGACTCTGTTACTCTGGGAGGGCGAAAGGGGTATGCCCGACGTGTACCAGCTGGGGCATTTTGCAAGGTAGACATTGTGAGTTGGAGGAGTGATTTGTGGGGAGAGAAAGCAAGAGAGCAGTCGATAGATAAGACTCGAAGAGCTCACCCGAAAAAGGGGTGCGACGATCACTGTTTGCGCCCACCATGCGCTGCAATAAGGCTGTGTACTGCTGTATATGATCAATCCTAGACTTGTGACCTGTGTACTAGTACGAAGGAAGCCTGCGAATGTTTGCCTTGTGACATGATCGCGGATCTAATATTGCCCAGCGGCACGAGAGCGCTCAAACCTAATAATCAACGTCCATGATGGCAGTCATGACACGGTTCGGAGATTTCCGATGGATATTTCTGCTGGAACGGCCGAAAAATCAGAATGTAGGCTGTCAAATATCATATCGCAAGACGAAACGGTCAGCCTCAGGAATAATGATGTGTTTGGGATGAGCGACGTTGAAAACAATGGAGAGAAACTCGTTTGGGATTCCCCAATATTGTTTGTGCGTGTGGATGATCCGGAGGCAAGCAATCTCTTGGACTGTGCAGGTTCGAAACCGGAATACACCTTGACCTTGACTCATGGATGGTTTCCTCGGAGGTCCATCTAACTGGTCTTAGCCGAGTGGTCACTGTAACAGAGTGAAAATCTGTTTCTCTTCGAGTTGGTTCGAAACCTGCTGACAATATTTTTGTGGTGTATAGATCCTCGAGGGGTCCATGTAGGCCCAGTCACTTGCGCCGAAACCTCCTTTTTCTACACGACTCGGAGATACCGCCGACGACGACGTCATGCTGTGTTGTTATCATTTCCCCTCTCGTCGATGGATTTTCAATGACAAAATTCTAGACAAATTGCTGATTTTCGTAAGTAACATATGACACAACTGATAAGAATCTTATTTTAGTTCAGACAGCCTGAAAGAAGCTGTGCAGACCGCTACCATGTTAATTAATACGTATCCTGGAGTATGTAACCTCTCGGTAAAAATGGGATTGTCAGAAACGCGCGTGTGCACGTAGTCGCGCTGCAATATTGTCGCTTCCTCAAAGTCCAACTTCTCAATACATTTGAAAGCCACTGCATCCCCCGCATTCCATACAGACCATTCGTCATGGACAGTGAGTCAAAGACAGTTTCCTCTGCGACTCGCATATGCAACTACATTTGATGGATGTCGCGGTTTGACGCTAGCGCAAATCGTGCTCGACCTTTGGACTGATTCCTTCGCTCACGGTCGATTGTGTACAGCGTTGTCAAGAGTGAGAACGCGAAGGGACACTGTCTATTTGCAGAGACGATGCTAATATAGTATTTCCTGAGTTGCTACTGTAAATACAATATAAAATATTGTCGTGCAGCCAATCGAAGGGGAGTCCTTGTGTAGTATATAATAATGCATAACTCTATGAAGCTCTGTATTATGAGAATGTCAACTATATGTCAGTTTGCAGAACACCACGAACGTGCAGAATACAACCAAAAAGCGAACGAAAACAGATAATGCAAAATAATAATAAAATGGATCGAAAATGTCAGTTGAAGTGAGGCAGATCAAGCCACGAGAGAGACTAGTTTATCGCTACATTCGAGCTTCGAAGCGATCCGATAGAGTCTCTCAGGCTCATTCTGGAACCCAGCACCCCTGAGCATGATAGCCATATAGTCAAACGCATTGGGAGTATCGATGGCAACATCATTCAAAAGTTCTGCCGTGGACATGAACCCCTTCTCAAATGCCTCGAGCGTACACTGTCCGTTACTCGTAGCCTGCGCGAAGAAATCACCGACCAACCTCGCATCCGCCTCCTTGCTCTCGAGTGCGGACGCAACCAGCTTGTCCACGAGCCGGAAGCGGTGCTCGTCGGGAAGATTGAAGTAGACCTCGGCCTCTTGAAGACTGCGAACAGCAAAGAACTCTTTCACATCTTCATCAATCTTCTTCTTGACGTCTGCTTCATTACCAGCCTTGCGAGGCGCCTGCGGAACATAGTCACTGACAACAACCCAGCCATCAGGGTTATCCTCTTGGTTGCAGTCATCCCCCCTTCGAGATCCACCGCGAGACATGTTCAGCTGACGGTTGAAACACTCCTCTGCAGTTGCTTTCTCCTCGGCGGCCTGTAACACGAGTATCAATATATTAATTTTCAACGACGCCAATCTAATAAATCTATCTTACCAGCCGCGTGTGAACAGCCGCAATCGTCATAGGTGCAGCATCGCGGCTCATCCATGCACGATAACGCAACTCTATGACGTCCTAAAATCGCGATGATGAGAACAACTGACAAAGATACCAGAAAAAATGCCACACCTGAAGAATGAACTGCATACGAGTGCTGATATTATGGCTCTTACCGAGCTCCGCTTCATTAACAGCCTTGGGAGGCGCCTGCGGAACATAGTCACTGACAACAACCCAGCCATCTGTGATATCCTCTTGGTTGCAGTCATCGCCCCTTCGAGATCTACCGCGAGACATGTTCATCTGACGGTTGAAACACTCCTCTGCAGTTGCTTTCTCCTCGGCGGCCTGTAACACGAGTGTCAATATATTAATTTTCAACGACGCCAATCTAATAAATCTATCTTACCAGCCGCGTGTGAATAGCCGCAATCGTCATAGGCGCAGCATCGCGGCTCATCCATGCGCGGTCACGCAACTCGATGACGTCCTAAAATCGCGATAGTGAGAACAACTGACAAAGATACCCGAATAAATGTCACACCTGAAGCATGAACTGCATACGAGTGCTGATATTATGGCTCTTACCGAGTTCCTTCATGCGCGAGAAGAAAATGTCCATATGCGCGCGGGCTCTCGGCGTGTCAAGCAATTGGCCAACCGTCTTCAATAGCTGACACAAGCTCTCAATCTTCTCTTCCTCGGGGTTCTCGACGTTGACTAACAGCTGCTTCACACACTCGTGCATGATACGCTCTGTGAGCATCTGCAGCTTGAACAGCTCGCCGATGAACTTGATCAGACCAAGACCCTGGCGCTTCGCCTTCTGTGCAGCGTAGTACTCGTTTGAATAGAGCTCAGCTTTCTCGGTGCTTTTCTTGTCGTTAGCAGCCTTAGTTGCGTGATCGTCGGAAGTGTCCACAGCGGCTGCAGCAGGAGCTTCCTTGGCGAACCACCCGCGCTCAAAGTCTTCTTGACAGCGGTTGAGGAGATATTTCCGGAACAGCTGTCCGCCAGCAATAGGCTCGCCCTCTGTGTTCTTGATCCCATCATCCTGTACTTCAGGACTGATCTGCTCCATCATCTTCCGACACAGCCGCGCGTACACCTCGCTCCAAGCAGCCTCATCAGTCGCCTTCTCGAACACCAGCCGGATGACTTGGGTGAGCGTCCGCCCATCCTTCTCATTCACGCTCCGGTTGGCCCAGTGGATGATCTGGTCTGAAATCGTCTCGAATTTCTCCATCGAGAGCTTGTTGAGCAGCGCCTTGACCTTACGGTCCACCAGGTCAGGTGAATCAACATCAGGTTGAGCCTTGCGGGTCGTACGCGTGGGCACCCAACGGTTGGCAGACAATTCGAGAGGTACAACGGGCTCAAAGCCAGCACCCAGGATAGATGCAGCGCCACAGCCAGATCTAAGTCCTTTCTGGGACACCGGTATCTTGTTAGGGTCAACACGCCTCTCGGCCCTGGTGAGTCTACAGCCATACCTGGGGCGGGCAGAGCCGCCCATGCCGGGCGTGCGCACCATCGGGGAACGGAATTGGGAAGAAGCACTGCTAGTTGAAGAGGAACGGGAGTTGAGGATGGCAAACCGCTCCTCGCTGGTAAGTCTCCCTGGGGGAAGGGGATCCCCCATCTGGTAACCGCTTGGGGGTTTCTGGAAGCCACCGATACCCAGACCTGCAGAACCCTGGCGGTTGGCAGAAACGGGCATCGCACCAGAGACGCTGCGACGTCCAGAGCCACCGCGGGCCATGGGAAACGAAACTTGATCGACGGGTTCAATGCCAAGGACATCCAGAGCAGGAAGGGTGGGCGGTTTTTCCTTGCAAATGTGCATAAACTGCATAAGGAAGTCATGGTCGTACCTATACGAAGCAATGGATGAGACATTCAAAGTAAAAGAGGTAAGACACACCTGAATCGGCCATCCCTGACGTTCACATTGAGCTCAATTCTTGGGCTCTTGATGCCTTCGGGGTACGCAACCTCGCTGAGATTCTCGATGACACGTGCGGTGAGGAGTGCAGAAGGGGGAGGGGGTAGAAACATCTCTCTTCGCTGAAGCAAGGTCGAGAGGGCCAGAAAGTTTTTGTGTAATCTCTGTGGGAGGGGGGCATCGGGGTGTGTGATTCAGCAGTGGCACAGCTAGTTGAGGCAAGACGGACGTTGGATGACATGACAAAACGTTCTTCGCTGGTAAGTTTTATTCCTGGGGACTGGGAATTGTCCATCTAGAATCCGCTTGGAACGGAGAGTTTCTGATAATCGACGTCAGGTTGACTCGACTGCTCATGGTGAGAAGCTGGAGACCGGCCCCGCCCAATCTGCCAGACGATGCAAAGATAGAACTTGATCCATCTTGCTGCACATGAAATCGTCCGATGGGTCTCCCAAGGCTGGACAAGTACAACTCCTTGCAATGGAGCTTGCTTAAATTGATACTTGCTGGACAAGAAGAAAGTGCATCATGGCGGCCAAACCACGAGAGAGACAAGCTTGGCGCTATCTTCGAAGCGATCCGGTGCCGGGTGGAGTCTCTCAGGCCCATTCAGGAACCCAGCACCCCTGAGCATGATAGCCATATAATCATTCGCAACAGCCCTCCGGGCATCTTGGCAATCTATTATGTAACGAGGCACGAGCGAAAGAATAGAGTAAGGTCTTCGAGCGAACAGCAGATGCGGCACCAATCCTCTTGACTTCGTGCCGCGACCATCGTTCGTCACTGCGCATCAGTAAATCACAAATTTCTCCACAGAATGTACACAAATCATGTTCCCACGACAGTGAGCCACAGAGTCCACAGTTCTGCCAAAGTCACAGCCAACAGTGGCTGCAAAGTATACATTGTCTCCAGTTACTCACAGTTCTACAGTATAATTCAAGAATTTATCAACTAATATAGGTAGTAGTTACATAGTACTTTTCTCTAGGTCTATATGACTCAGTTTCGTACGATATGACTTGGCTTCAAATTGAATGATCAAACTTAAACAGCCGCAGTGAAGATAGTTTAAGATCTGAGTGAGACGCATATGTTCATTCACGCCTGAGAGGACATACAACAAATAACACTGCATAGCGAAATATTCATGCAACAACAGCATATACATAAGTTGAGTATCATAATAATGTGAAGAGGGAGCGCTCGGATCAATCAAGCTGGACGGTGAGGTGACGACCACGTTCAGTATCTTCTACTGGGATAATCAACCTCCTGCATCAAGTTTCGTATCGTTAGCTTACCAGTTTGTAGGCGGCCATCGCGTGTTTGAGTCGGATGAGGAAAATGACTCCATCCATTCTTCTTAAATGCGATTCGCATGCACCCTAATCCAACATCCGCGTCCTCCAGTCGTTTTTCTGCTTCTTCAGCTCGATATCGGAGTAAGTTTGCCAACACTTCGTTCTCGCGTATTATACAGTCCGCCAGTGTCTTTTGCGCTAGATAAACTTGCCGCTTAGCTCTTACAAGGTCCAACACCAGGTTGGCCTCAGAGTCGGTTGGATCCTGTATGGACTGTTAAAATGTAAGGTACATCGAAAAAGCGAATTTCAAGATCGACATCACCAAGGAATTGACAGAATGAAGAACATTGTATATGTCATATGCACCCGATGGTCCTTCGCGATGATGTAAACGGGAGATCTGCTCGTCCATCCCTGATGCGCGTGCTGATAGAGATCGCAGTTTGGTTATGTTCATGGTAGTATTGTTTAAGTCAGTATCGGAAAATGCCGAAATATCGATCAGAAGGTTAATGATGACTGTCGTATGTCTCACCCTTACCCTTATGCCTCAATGTCCATCGTGCGGAAAAATTCTGAAGGACCACACATCTGTCGCTCGCCATATGAGCCAGCCCCGGTCTGGCTGCAACACGTGGCTAGAAGATATCATCAAGCTTAATTCCCTCATTCCACCCTTGGACCCAGTGAATATCGAGCACGACATTTCTCATGAACCAGAACTCGGAGGCGAGGCGATGGTGGTTGACTTTGGTGATGATGGCGGTGAATTCGGTGATGAAGAGAATATCATGGGAGGTGGAATTATGGATGAGGGCGGTGAAGTAACCGAATACTATCCTGACCCTCCACTTGCCTATCAGGATGGCTACACCTTTTTGAACCTATTTGACGCTGACGAAAATAGTGTGTATCGCAAGAACAACCTTTACTATCCATTTAGTGGTCGAAGAGATTGGCAAGTTGCGGCATGGCTGCTTCGTTCGGGCCTGAGCATGGGCAAGATCGATTCCTTCCTATCGCTTGAAATGGTGAGTGTCCGAACTTCATACTGGTTACCATTCCATAACTGTTGGACTTTCTAGATCAAAGAATTACCTTTGTCATTCTCCTCAGCTAAAGAACTACGGGGTCGAGCTGAAATGCTCCCCAGTGGTCCGCGTTGGATGTCCAAAGTAATACCCACATCGCATACAACAAAGTCACCGGTAGTTTTATATTGGCGCGACCCTCTAGAATGCATCGCCAGCATCTTCAACAACCCCATATTTCACAATCGTATTGATTCCAGGCCTCGCAAGGTGTACACTACTGCAGAGAAGCGGTGTCGTGTATATACTGAATGGATGACGGGAAATGATGCTTGGGATATGCAGGTGCGTACCATGTTGACTTTCGGTGTCTCTGGCTTATTTATCCTTGAAGGCGGCTATACCTAGTGGTGCGACCCTCCTCGGTACCATCCTATCCTCCGACAAGATGAACATCACTGCCTTAACAGGCGATCGCGTTGCTCACCCACTTCTTATAAGCCTTGCAAACATACATATAAATATACGTCTAAAATCGTCTTCGAGTGCTTTCGTTCTCACCGCTCTACTACCGGTCCCGAAGTTCGTGCATAAGAAGAAACGAATGAAGGGTGTATTGGAGGATCGCCTCATACATGAATGTTTGGACATCGTTCTTGAACCTCTGAAACAGGCCAGCTCGACATGGCGTCATGCTATCGGATCCCATTGGCAACAGTCGTTATTGCTTCACCCCCGCTTGCCAGTTATATTGCTGACACCCCTGAAGCCATGATGTTAGCAACGGTCGGTGGCAAAAACATCGCCAGTGACCATGGCAATGTATAAGCAGTTTGGGGATGCCTTCCAGCATGAACCTCGGACGAAATCCACGACTCTTGCGCAGCTTACAGTTGTGCGTTCCACGCGCTGATCCCCTCGATATCGAGGCCTTCTTCCGCGAGGCACAGAAGTTCCGCCTGAATGGGGTTGCTGAGCTGTTCTTTCGAGACTGGATACTCGCGGAACCATCTCATTTCTTTACACCGGAAGACCTTCACCACATTCATAAAGAATTCTGGGACCATGACGCGCAATGGCTCATTTGTGCAGTCGGAGAGTCCGAGATTGATTTCCGGTTTTCTGTTTTGCAGCCGATCACTGGTTATCAGCACTTCCACGGAGGCATTTCGAAACTGAAACAGGTTACCGGTCGTTGTCATCGTGATGTTCAACGATACATCATTGCAGTATGTGCGGACGCAGCTCCTGGTGTTCTCACTGCCGTTACGCGCACTCATGCAGTTCCGTTATCGTGTGCAGTCACCACGCATCGACGACGATGATATCAGGCGCATATCAGGCGCATTGGACGAGTTTCATTCAAACAAGGATTCAATTATCGCTGCGGGAGTTCGCCGAGGGAAGGGTAATAGACCTATTGCCAATTGGCATATACCCAAGTTGGAGTTAATGCAGAACATTGTTCCAAGCATTCGCAACTCTGGGGTCATCAGACAGTGGTCTGCGGATGTCACAGAACATGCGCATGTGACTGAAATCAAAGACCCTGCAAGGGCAAGCAACAATCACAACTACGATCCTCAGATATGTCGACACTTGGACCGTGCCGAAAAGTGTCAGCGCTTTGAGCTCGCCACTAGCCTTTTGGATGCAAAACAGACTACTGAGCAGCTGGAGAACATCAACATCGATGCTGACGCTGACGATGCCGATGCCGATGCTGACACTCCAATCGAACTTTCCGCGGTGCAGGAACTCCCACGTCGTCCTGTCATCAGCTATTTTGCCATTGCTAGGGCATTGCAGTACAGACCCCTGGGTTCCGTACCTCTTCCATTACGTTCATTTGTCGTCGGCCGCACTGCATTTCATATTGCATACGATGCGTCCATTAGGAAGATCTCTATCGACGACGTCGCCATCAAATTTTCCCTTCCAGATCTGCGACCAGCTATCGCTGATTTCATTCAGCGTGAGGCGACTTGTGGAGACCAACACATCCATGCAATAGGCGGTCCAAGAAGAGGGGCACATACGGCTATCCTTCCTTTTGACAGGGTTCAAGTCTGGTTCAAAGTTCGCTTACAAGAAACAGAATTTCACGATGCTCACACTATCAGACCAGCTCAAACACTAAATTGTGCCCCACCCTGCCACCCCTGGAATTTAGGTCGTTATGACACAGCTATCGTTCAAACTAGTGCGGGCTTTTCATGGCCTAGTAGTGGACTTTCAGGTGTGAATTCTGTCTTGTGTCACAATACTTGTCTCAGCCTCAACTGTACCCTGTATAGGTCACACTGTCGCCCAGATCAGACTGATCATGCGGCCTATTGGTAAGAGCGGCACATCATGGTCATGGAAAGACCAATTTCTCAGCTACGTGCAACACTTCGATATCTCGCATGATCGTGATGCAACTACGCAACTTCATGTACTCAAACGCTCAAAATGCTCAAATGGTGTTCGGATGGGGGACGTGATTCCGCTCTCTCAACTAAGGGCGCCTATAAATCTTGTTCCTCGCTTTGGAGCCACTGCAGATAAACACCTCACTGTTTATAATAGCATGGAGCATGCCGCAGAGTTTTGGTTGAATGAGTATTGGGAAAAACACACATTCTTCGCCCTATCAGCATAGTATTTGATTCGAGATAAGACCATTTTGTGTGCTATCATTTCTTTACTTTCCATATGTATGCTAGCATGGTTTTTTCGGAGTTCTATGCCTCGTTATGCCAACTGCGAGACACGCCAGAACAATCGACCTAGGGAAAAAACTGTCATCCTTCTTGACAGCTCCCCCCATCCATAATATAAAAGTGATGGATGAACTCACAACTTCTGAACTCAACCGCTTGATACTCCATGAGCCTGCGTTTACCAACAAAGACGAGCTCAGCCATACCTTATCTCTTATATTCCAGTCATGCACCGTTGAAGTCCCCAAAGCGGAGGATCTTGTGGTTCCGTTAAGCAAGATACCCCCCGACAGTCAGCTCGATGATCTGGAAGCTTTTTCTCTGGCTCCAGATGGAGCTCCCATGGTGCCGCTATATAACACTCAAAAGCGTCGATGGAATTGGCCCCTTCCAACAATGCATGGACAGGGACGAACTACGAAAAAAAGTGAGCGAGGAGGAACTGAGAGTGGCACAAAAGAGAAGTCGGGAGAATGGGTGTTGATCGATGAAACGAACAAAACCGAGTTACTAGCCTCTGGGGGGCTGGATGCACCGCTGGCATCTACAAGTGAAGCTACCGAGAGCATGCTGCCATTCGCTGATGCAGACCTTTTGACGGATGAAGGATCGAAGTCAGACGACGGGGAGGACAGGGACTTGGACTGCCTGTCTTCCTCAGCTGTAGCCTCGGAGGGTCCATTAACGACAGAACGCATCTTCTCATCATTCTTCAATGTTGTTTCTACGGCCCTCCTTGCATTGCAGCCTGATCTTGCTCATACACGCAACTTATCACGCACCTGGAGTGCGGCAAATTCATCACGCCCAGTACCTGGTGAAGAAATCCCGCGCAAACCAGATCTTACCCTACTAGACGATGTTGAAGCTAGGTGGGATACGATCAAAGCGGTATGCGAGTTGACATCCAGCGCATACAAACCTTCGAGCACCCTTGTGAAGACTCTCGATACCAAAGCATACCTTCTTCTAAAGCACCAACCCTGGAGACGGTTTGCGCTGCTGATATCCTTGTGCAATGGGTATCGCGATCTTCGTGTCCACCTGTACGACCATTCCGGAGGTGTCGTAAGCCCTTGCACTAACATCAATCAAGAACCAGACAGATACTTGTATATCTTGTCATGCGTTGTATTTGGTAATCTTGAGTGCATCGGATACGACACCACAATCAGCATATTCGCGCATACACTTCCGCAGACTCTCAAAACACATTCTACTTGCCTCCTGCAGAACGAAGGTTCATCCCAGGACGTCGCACCAACTCACTCCCTGGGCCAGATCAAGAGCACATCCCCCCCCCAGTTCGAGAGTACATCTTCACTTGCTAGTACCACTCCTCAGATTGACTTGGAGACAGAACCTACCGAGGATAACGCCGATGAAGATGACGGTAGCTTCCCAGTGGAACTCCCAATAGAGATCCCTCAGGATCCTCTTCTGTCATATACCATATATCCGGTTACAGATCCGATGATCTGGATCTCAGATCTGATCCAGATCCGATGAACATATCCATCGTCCGGTCCACAGATCCGCTTTGATTCTTATTTCATTTCCTGTTCATATAACTCTAACTATCGTTCATCTCCTTTCGGTATTCCTGTACACCGGTATACCGGTTATCCTTTACTTCCGCTTTGCTTACTGATCCGCTATGCTTACTGATCCGCTATGCTTACTGATCCGCTATGCTTACTGATCCGCTACACTTACGAATCCGCTTTTACTTACTTTGCTTATACTTTCGTACATAGCCTCGCACCTTTGCTTATTGATCATTCCGTTAGCTATCCGTAGTATATAAACCTTTGTATATGCGCTGTAGTAGATCAGTTCGAATATCATCTTAGATTGCACTCATTCCGTCTGGACTCTGAGTCCCTCCGTTATCCATCCGGACTTGAGTACGCTACTCTTGTCAACTCCGAGACCTAGGATAGATTCCTATAGTCTACATATCCGCCTCTGTCTTCGGACAGTCCTCACCCGTTAGTTTCTAGTCCGGATCCGATCCGGATTGGCCGTTACTCTATATACGCGATACTTTAGCTCTCTGAAATAAGGGGCAAGACTCGGGAAAGGGGCACAGCGCACGAGCTGAGGCCGAAGCCCTTCGGATCCGATACTACTTGAGTACAGTCTTAACAGTATATTCGAACTCATACCTTTCCGAGTTACTTAACATCTATCATGCCTCCTACCAAGACACAAACAACTCTGCACGCGGTCGGACTAACCTCCCTCCGTCGTGATCCGACACCTATAGTCAACACCTTCACCAGTTTCTCTCAGCGCCGTGTTAGCGCCCACGGAACCGCTCAAACCATATCCGAACTCCTTAATCGTCGACACCCGGAAACCCCAACACGCACTCCTGCCGTAGGACCTCCGGACGATGATGATCCCGATGATGGTGATGATGATTTCCCTGGTAATCCACCCGATGATAACGGTGGTGATCCGGATGATGATCCGGATGTTGAGGATGATGAAAATGACGGTCTAAACCCACAAGACCGCGTTATGCTTCGACTCTCAGAAGCCATCGATAACCTTGCTCGCAATAATCGTCGCGCGCCCGCATCCGAAGATTCTAGAGTCAAGGTCCGAGAACCGGATACCTTCGACGGATCCGAACCACGGAAGCTCCGTGCGTTCTTTGTCCAGTGTGAGCTTAACTTCCAGAGCAAGCCTAAGGCTTTCCGTACCGGAAGGGCTAAAGTCAACTTCGCCCAATCCTACCTTAAGGGTATGGCCCTTGAATGGTTTGAACCGGATCTCCTGTCCGATGATTTGGACGACCATCCGGATTGGATGGATGACTATTCCGTGTTCATGCTTGAACTCCAAGCCAACTTCGGGCCTCATGACCCATCCGGTGATGCAGAAATGCAGCTCGAACAGCTCCACATGCGCGATGGACAGCGCATCAACAAGTACGTTGTGGAATTCCAGCGTCTTGCTTCACAGGTTCGTGGCTGGGGCGACGGAGCCTTACGACGCCAATTCTACAACGGACTCCCGGCCCGTATCAAGGATGAAATCAGTCGCATGGGTAAACCCTCTACTCTTTCCGAATACAAAGTCCTCGCTCAGACTATCGACGCCCGATACTGGGAACGGAAGGGAGAGATCTCTCGAGAAGCTAAACCCACTTCATCCACTACCCCTAAGCAATCTGCTTCTGACCGGACGAACTCCAATACGTCCGGATCCAGAAATCACAAATCCGGAAACTCCAATGATCAGAAGTCTACAAAGCCATCCACGTCCTCGAACTCGTCCGCTCCTAAGGTTCCGGATCTTACTTCCAAGCTGGGTAAGGACGGAAAGTTAACGTCCGAAGAGCGGCAGAGAAGGATGGACAAGAAACTCTGCTTATTCTGTGGTGGACCCGGTCATACTGCTCGGGAATGCACCAAGTCTACTTCGCGTGCTGCCAAAGGCCGCGCTGCAGTAGTCGCTCCGGAACTCAAACCGGATGTCTCTACTGAGACAAAAAAATAGTCCGCGACTCTCCTAGCTCCGTGCAGGAAGAGGGTCGCGTTGACTCTGCCTGCACAAAGGAGTTAAGACTCAACGCTGTCGCGCTCTCGGATCCGACTTCCCTCTGTCCATATGTTTCACTTCCGTTACTTCCATCCGTATCCGAATTTCCAGCTCTTGTAGATTGTGGTTCTTCTCATTGTTTCATAGATACTGCGTTCATCCGAAAACACAAAATCCCTACATATCCGATACCTACGATTCCGCTCCGCTTGTTTGATGGTACTTGTAATAATACTATTTCCGAAGCTATAGATTTGTCCGTCCGCTTTCCGTCCGGTGTAGTCACCTCTGATACGTTCTACGTTACCCCTTTGGATTCATCTTGTTTTATTGTTCTTGGATATAGCTGGCTCACCCGACACAATCCGTTGATTGACTGGGTTTTGGGCAGCATCGAATTCCGGACGACATCTCATGGAATGCCATCGACCCCTCCGACGTCACTTCCGTCCTCAGATATCCCTCCTCCGACGGAAACCATACCTCCTCCGACTACATCCGTACCCTCCGCTGATAACACTGTTCCTAATATATCCCTAATCAATGCAGTTGCCTTTTGCCGGGCCTGCAAGTTAGAAGGATCGGTCCAGTTCAGTATATACCTTCGACCATCCGGTGTCGATCTCCGATCCGCTTCTCTATCGTCCGATCCTCCGGATCTATCCCAAATTCCTTCGGACTATCACGAGTTTGCGGATGTCTTCGACAAGGGAAAGGCTGGTCAGCTTCCTCCACATCGTCCTTATGATCTGAACATAGATCTGGAAGAAGGAACTAGTCCTCCCCTCGGAACTATCTATTCTCTATCCCCGGTCGAGCTTGCAGCCCTCCGGAAGTTTCTTGATGAAAATATTGCCTCTGGACTCCTCCGCTCCTCATCCTCTCCTCACGGAGCTCCGGTCCTATTTGTCAAGAAAAAGGACGGATCCCTCCGCCTTTGTGTAGATTTCCGTGGACTCAACCAGATCACTAAGAAAGACCGATATCCATTACCCCTCATTGCCGACCTATTAGACTCTCCGAGCCGTGCTAAAGTTTATACCAAAATCGACCTCCGATCCGCTTATCATCTCGTCCGGATAGCGGAAGGGGACGAATGGAAGACTGCCTTCCGAACGCGCTATGGCTCCTATGAATGGTTGGTGATGCCGGAAGGTCTCACTAATGCTCCAGCAGCATTCCAGCGCTTTGTCAATAGCGTGTTTGCTGATATGCTGGATGTATGCGTTATCGTATATCTGGACGACATCCTCATCTATTCCCATGACCTTGCGTCCCACAAGCAACACATCCGAGAAGTACTTCCGTCGACTCCGTAAACATCGTCTCTATGCCAAACCCGAAAAATGCGAATTCCATTCCACTTCCGTTGAATATCTCGGATATCTCCTATCTCCGGATGGCTTAACTATGTCGTCCGATAAGATCCAAGCTATTACTGACTGGCCGGAACCTCGGAAAGTCAAGGATATCCAATCCTTCCTCGGATTCGCAAATTTCTATAGACGGTTTATATTCAACTACTCGGATATCGTGGTTCCGTTAACACGGCTTACACGCAAGGATGCTCCGTGGAACTTTTCCGATGAATGTCGGAAATCCTTCGAGGAACTCAAGAAAGCCTTCACTACGGCTCCGGTGCTTACGCACTGGATGCCGGATGTTCCTATAGTTGTGGAAACCGATGCCTCTGACTACGCTATAGCTGGAATACTATCCATAGTATGTCCGGACTCAGAGCTTCGTCCGGTAGCGTTCTACTCTCGAACGCTAACCGCTCCGGAACTTAACTATGACACCCACGATAAGGAACTTCTAGCTATATATGAAGCTTTCCGGACCTGGCGACATTATCTAGAAGGCTCGGCCGAGCCTGTAGATGTTGTCACGGACCACAAAAACCTTGAGTACTTCGCCACTACCAAACTCCTCTCTCGCCGTCAGGCCCGCTGGTCGGAATTCCTCCATCAGTTCAATCTTGTCATCCGCTTCTGTCCCGGAAAACTCGGAGTTAAACCGGATTCCCTTACTAGACGCTGGGACGTCTATCCCAAAGAGGGGGATAAGGACTACGCTCGAGTTAACCCTCATAACTTCCGTCCGGTATTCACGTCCGAACAGTTAGCTTCGTCCCTACGAGCCTCAACCTTAGCAACTCCGGTTCTTAGAGCAGCTGTTCTAATGGATATTGATGACCTTCGGAAAGACATCCTGACCGCACTTCCTAATGACCCTATTGCAACCAACCATCTTCCGGTACCTTCAGATCCGAGATGGACAGTGGACGATAGGGGTTTCCTCCGTTGCGACAACCGTATATATGTCCCAGAATCCGATAACCTTCGACTTCGCGTCCTCCGTAATACTCATGATCACCCCTTATCCGGACATTTTGGTCAAAACCGAACCCTAGACCTCATCCGACGCGAGTATACATGGCCGGGTATACGCACCTATGTTAAGGACTACGTCCGGTCCTGCACTACCTGCGCCCGAGCCAAGGTTCCGAGACATAAACCCTACGGATTGCTCAAGCAACTACCCATACCGGAAAAGCCTTGGAATTCCATATCCATGGATTTCATAGAGCAACTTCCGGACTCATCAGGCTTTACAGCCATCCTCGTTATCATAGATCGTTTATCCAAACAAGCAATATTTGTTCCGACTCACGATACCATTACCTCTCCGGATCTCGCTCGTCTATTCCTACTTCATGTGTTTTCCAAGCACTGGAGTTCCGTCCCATGTCACCTCGGATCGCGGTACAGAGTTTGTATCCCACTTCTTCCGATCCTTAGGAAAAGCATTGGATATGGTCCTCCACTTCACATCCGGATATCATCCGGAAGGGGATGGACAAACCGAGCGTGCCAACCAAACCCTGGAACAATACCTTCGGATATATTGCAATTATCAACAGGACAACTGGTCGGAACTACTTCCCTTAGCAGAAT